CCCCCCCACACCCAAACTACAATTTTATTGCAGATTCGGGGTCCCCTCGCCGAGCACAGCACGACCCCGCCCTCAAAAAAAAAATAAAAAAAATTCTGGCCTGTTTTTTGGCCCGCCCGGTCTGCCCGGGCGACCTGCCCGGGCCCCACGCCCGGCCGGGCGGCGTCCGTACTCAGACTAAAATACTAAAATACTAAAATACTAAAGTTACTAAACAGTCTAAACTGAAATAAATTCAGGAAATGCTATGACTCCGCGCTCACTTTAGGAGCAATGTAAACTGTTGAGGATCTCCACAGATTTTTCCAGTGGCAGTGTCTAGAAACCCTCCTAAAAAAGTTCCTAATGAGGAAGGAGAACCCCTCCTAAAAAAATGGGCACCCATAGTAGGAAGAAAAATGTGGACTGCTGTGAAGAGATCCATATATGCTGCTATTTGTGCTGATATGCAGAGTTGTGTAGAACTCTGTGCGTTGGCTGTTATGTGCAAAGGGGCTTGGGCGATCTTCGAACGGTGCCTCGCTTTAGAAACTTGGGCTCGACAGAGACGAAGCCTGTGACAATTCTTGGCATGATTTATAGGATAAGACAGCTAACGCTTACAAAAAAACGGACGTCACCTGCATTGCTGCGTCTGTTTATTTGTCACCCTGTCACGGTTGTCGAAACATCCACATTGACATGCATTAAGTGTACATGGGGGGAGGTGGGGGGTGGGGGGGTGGCACTGATTTATTGGCCCACTGGGTAGTATGTGCCTTCTTCAGAATTTTTTTTTAAAGATTTTGACAATGAAGTCATCAAGGTTATAATCCATTTGAATGATGAGAAAAAGAAACCAAGCATCACTGGATACGTTGAGACATAAGTGAAATCTTTGAATAAATGCAGGACATTTTCGAAATGTTCAGAAAATGTAAAGGTGCGGCTCAAATTTAAGAATCCCTGCTAGTAATAGAAGTTCCATAAGGTTATCTGTTTTCTGGACTTAAAAAAAAACAAACCAAAACAAAACAAAAATCTCAAACTTCTAAATGGACTGAAGTCACTGAGGGACGTAAATCCTTTTTTTTTCATTTTGTTTTTGTATTGTGTTACGATCCTGGTCATTTCCAAAGTTCAAATTCACAAGGAAAGACAATGCCACCCAATTGCGAAAAAGAAATGAAAGCACTTGCAAAGAGATAGAGACCAAAGAAGAAGAGGGAAAGAAGAAGAAGAAGAAGAAGAAGAAGAAGAAGAAGATGTACACCAGCAAGACCAATGACAAATCCCCCTTCTCTCTCCACCTTCCTCCTCCTCCTTGTCTTCACCAATCTTATTCTTCTCCCAAATAATAATAATAACAATGAGTAGTTGAACCAGAATCAATATCCGAAGTTCCCTCTTACTGCCAGCACAACAACAGGTCCACTATAGCCATGGCTTCCCCCTTCTTCCTCTCTTACATGCCAAGGCTATGGCGGACTACTAAGGGCTCTGCCCTCCTGTGCAAAGGACAACACAAGCAGCTATGGTCGCTGCTCATCAGGCTGCCATGCCCGAGTCCGCCTTGAGAATGCAGCACCTATCAAGGTGATGAAAATGGTGTCCACAATGGCCAGGTAGGTACCTCGCCACTCTCCTCCATCACCCCCTTCTTCCTCCTCAGGCTGGGCTGCTTGCCATAGCCAGGCTGAGCGCCCAGCTTCTCTTCGTCCTCCCAGGCAGCGCTCTGAGTCCGGCAGCCTGCTCAAGCAGTATGTCGCCCAACCTTGCACACCGCAAAATGAGGAGGAGCTACTTGCTCCGCCTGGAGCCTACTTGCCTCTTGGGCAGTGACTTCCAGGCTGCGCGGCCTCCAAGCAACCGGTACCTCCTCCCTTTCGGAGGGAAACATCATTGCAGGCTCTGATATCGTCCGTACAGGCCCTAGACTCAGGCTACTTGGATTGGTACCAGCCTACCTCTAGCCTACCGCTACTGGGCCTCTAAAAATGCCAACTTTTTGTCTTCTTCTGCTTGGCCTCGAGTACCCAACGCTTCTACCACTACTTGAGTGGTACCGGCCTACCTGCTACTTGAGTGTTTTTCCCCGCTGCTCTAAGTGTCGTGGGCCTACCCCCGCTACTTGAGTGTTTTCCCCGCTGCAACCCTCAAAGTCACGGCCACAGGTAAGTGCCGACCCTGCGGGGCCTTCAAACGAACAAGTACCCTTGCGGGCCACACACACACTCAGGCCGACAAGCACTCAGACAGACGGTTTTTGGGGGCGATTCGATGAGGGACCTAAAGACGAAATAGCAAATATGTCAAGTATCAAAGGCAGATTATCGACACAGGACACTGAGGACAGACACTAATGGTGGTTTTTGGGGGCGATTCGATGCGGGACCTAAAGACGAAATAGCAAATATGTCAAGTATAAGGAAGGCAGATTATCGACACAGGACAGACACTGATGGTGATTTTTGGGGGAGATTGAATGAGGGACCTGAAGATGAAATAGCAAATATGTCAAGTATCAGGAAGGCAGATTATCAACACAGGACAGACACTGATGGTGGTTTGGGGGTGTGATTGGATGAGGGACCTAAAGATGAAATAGCAAATAGCTATCACGCGACTTCCATGGCCACTCAATGTGTGCTGTGAGATGTAATGCTTCAGAAGGCTTGTTTCTCATGGTTTTGATGCTTTCAATGTTTTTGATATCTTATGAACTTTCATCTCATACGATTCCAATCTTGAACTCTACCATGACATTTACTTCCCACATATGCTTCTCTTTGTGTGTGGGGGGTGGTCTGTGTGAGTATGTACATAGGTGTGTGTGTGTGTGTGTGTGTGTGTGTGTGTGTGTGTGTATGTCTGTGTGTGTGTGTATGTGTGTATGTAGGGTGGTGTGTGTGTGTGTGTCTGTGTGTGTGTGTATGTGTGTATGTAGGGTGGTGTGTGTGTGTGTACGTATGTAATATGTACGTAGGGGTGTGTGTGTGTGTGGATGGTGGAGGAGGGGAGAAGACAGGGGAAGGGGGTAAAAAGAGAAGAGGGGGCCAGTGGGAGTTTAGTATACAATCTTGGCATGAGGGGATCATCCAATCTTTTTCTTTGGCTTTGGACGACAGGTACATCACAGAGTGAGAGTGTTTGGCATTTTGCAAGAGTTGTTGTGCTTGTAACTTTGTAGCTTTGTAAGTTTGTATATAATATTAGTAATATATGTGTAATTTTAAGATCAGGATGTCTTTTCCCTTTTCAACTTGTTGAAGTCCTTTTCAATTTTTGAGATGGTTGGTGGGTTGGTGGGTTTTGCTGCTATACTACCCACAGGTGTGTTTATAAAGCTAGATTTGATGTTGGTGTTGAGTGTTGTGGCAGTGGTTTAACGTGCCGTGATGGTCGTGGTTCACAACAGTGCTGAATTGTCGAAGGTAGGGAGTTGCAGTTTGTTTGGACTCTGGAGGGTGGATGATGTTGATGATGTTGATTGTGTGGTTTGTGTGTGTGCTGATTGGTTGAACCTCGCTTTTGGTGTAGTGATAATCTTGTACTTACTGCGGACTTTCTTTACCTTTTGTCTGACCATGAACATTGCATGATTAGGGGGAAATGTGCATGTTTCCTGGTAGTCATTTTTTGCCATATTGTGTCATAATGTGATATCATACAGAAAGTAAAATATGTAACAAATATGAAAACTTGATTCTCCAGAGAGAGAGAGAGAGAGAGAGGTTGACAATTTGATATGAACGAAGAGTATGTAGGAGATGCATATCAGCAACTTGACTCACCTTTGGACTTCTTGATGCACATACAGGTGGTTGTGGTTGGTGTTCATTCTGCAAAGTTCGACAACGAGAAAGATCTCGAGAGTATTCGAAACGCTGTGTTGCGATATGATATCACTCATCCGGTAAGGATTCAGACTCTTTAGAGTTTGTTTCTTCGTTACTTCGTTTGTTTGTTGGTTGGTTGGTTGGTTGGTTGGTTGGTTGGTTGGTTGGTTGGTTGGTTGGTTGGTTTGGTTGGGGTGGTTGGGTGGTTGGGGTGGTTGTTGGCTGGGTTTAGTGGGTAGGTTGGGTTTGGTGGGTTGGTTGGGGGGTTGGTTGGGTTGGGGAGTTGGTTGGTTGGGTTGGTAGGTTGGTTGGTTGGGT